AAAAGAATAATATTAATAGATGGCGTGGGGAGGGGAGGGGATGGGGGTGCCTGATGGGGTTGGGGCGGGCTCCACCTTCACCTCTGCTTTCTGCTCTGCTTTATGCTGCCTGAGGACGCTGCCGTGGCTGTGGGTGAGTGGAGGGAGGGACGCCGAGCAGGGCCGGGCTTCTCACCTGCCGCCTGTGCCCACTGACGCCTGTCCCTGCAGCTGACAGCCTCCAACCATGTGAGCAACGTCACTGTGAACTACAACGTCACTGTGGAGCGGATGAACAGGATGCAGGGCCTGTGGGTCTCCACGGTGCCGGCCGTGCTGCCCCCCAATGCCACGCTGGCACTGACGGCAGGCGTGCTGGTGGACTCGGCTGTGGAGGTGGCCTTCCTGTGAGTGACTCGGGGGCCGGTTGGGGGTGGGCACCAGGCTCTCGTCCCAGCCCCAGTCTCAGCTGAGGGACCCCACGCCAGGGGGCTGCTTTTCTGAGCCTCGGTTTCCGTCTGTTGGGAGGTACTGGGTGCACAGGAGCCCTGAGGCTGCACGGGAGCGGGGAGAGGCCTCAGCACAGCCTGGTGGGCCCTGAACAGAGGCCCAGGGCATGACTGCAGGGTGGAGCCTTGGCTGGGTCCCAAGCACCCCTGCCCTGCCACCGCGCACACCTGTCCTGGTCCACTCACTGCCTCCCACCGCCCTGGCAGGTGGACCTTTGGGGATGGGGAGCAGGCCCTCCGCCAGTTCCACCCTCCGTACAACGAGTCCTTCCCGGTTCCAGACCCCTCAGTGGCCCAGGTGCTGGTGGAGCATAATGTCACGCACACCTACGCTGCCCCAGGTGAGGGATGAGGGGGTGAGGGGGCTGCTGCCTTTCAGGCCCTGAGCATGGGCACCTCCCAACCCCCCAGTCAAGCTGCCCCCCTTCCTCCCCAGCAGCCCTCACTGTGACTCCACCTGGGCTGATGGCTTAGGCTCTTACTGGGGTGAGGAAGGGGCCAGGCATCGGGGGGAGTGGACGGGGAAGCTGGGCCCCCTGAACTGCCCCCTGGGCCTGGCTCTTGTTGCTCTGCTGCCCTGAGAGCAGCTGCACTTGGAGGTGGCACTGTCCTCACCTGGCAGCTCTCAGTGCTGCCGCACTTGTGCTCCATCCCGCACGTGGCCTGGGAGCCTGGGACCCTTAGGGCTGGGCCGCAGGTGCAGCCGTTCACCCTGGGCTCCTCAGGCGGGAGCTTCTGAGGGGTGCCAGAAGCTGGGGGGTGCCATGGCTGTCCCACTTGGGCCTATCCCCACAGGTGAGTACATCCTGACCGTGCTGACGTCCAATGCGTTTGAGAACCTGACGCAGCAGGTGCCTGTGAGCGTGCGCGCCGCCCTGCCCTCCATGGCTGTGAGTGTGAGCGACAGTGTCCTGGTGGCCGGCCGGCCCATCACCTTCTACCCGCATCCACTGCCCTCACCTGGAGGTGTTCTTTACACGTGGGACTTTGGAGACAGCTCCCCTGTCCTGACCCAGAGCCAGCCGGCTGCCAACCACACCTACGCCTCGAGGGGCACCTACCGCGTGCACCTGGAGGTCAACAACACAGTGAGCAGTGCGCTGGCCCAGGCAGATGTGCGTGTTTTCGAGGAGCTCCGCGGGCTCAGCGTGAACATGAGCCTGGCCGTGGAGCAGGGAGCCCCCGTGGTGGTCAGCGCTGCGGTGCAGACTGGCGATGACATCACGTGGACCTTCGACATGGGGGACGGCACCGTGCTGTCGGGCCCCGAGGACACAGTGGAGCATGTGTACCTGCGGGCGCAGAACTGTACAGTGACTGTGGGTGCGGCCAGCCCTGCCGGCCGCCTGGCCCAGAGCCTGCACGTGCTGGTCTTCGTCCTGGAGGTGCTGCGCATCGAGCCCGCCGCCTGCATCCCCACGCAGCCCGACGCGCGGCTCACGGCCTACGTCACCGGGAACCCGGCCCACTACCTCTTTGACTGGACCTTTGGGGACGGCTCCTCCAACACAACCGTGCGGGGGCGCCCTACGGTGACGCACAACTTCACGCGGAGCGGCACGTTCCCCCTGGCGCTCGTGTTGTCGAGCCGCGCGAACAAGGCGCATTACTTCACCAGCATCTGCGTGGAGCCGGAGGTGGGCAACGTCACCCTGCAGCCAGAGAGGCAGTTTGTGCAGCTCGGGGACGAGGTCCGGCTCGTGGCCTGTGTCTGGCCCCCATTCCCCTACCGCTACGCCTGGGACTTCGGCACTGAGGAAGCTGCCCCCGCCCGTGCTGGGGGCCCCGAGGTGGCATTCACCTACCGAGACCCAGGCTCCTATCTTGTGACAGTCACCGCGTCCAACAACGTCTCTGCTGCCAATGACTCAGCCCTGGTGGAGGTGCAGGAGCCTGTGGTGGTCACGGACATCAAGGTCAACAGCTCCCTCGTGCTGGAGCTGCAGCAGCCGTACCTGTTCTCTGCTGTCGGCCGTGGACGCCCCGCCAGCTACCTGTGGGATCTGGGGGACGGTGGGCGGCTGGAGGGTCCGGAGGTCACCCACGCTTACAACAGCATAGGCGACTTCACCGTCAGGGTGGCCGGTTGGAATGATGTGAGCCGCAGCGAGGCCTGGCTCAATGTGACAGTGAAGCGGCGTGTGCGGGGGCTGGTTGTCAACGCCAGCCGCACGGTGGTGCCCCTGAATGGCAGCGTGAGCTTCAGCACCTCGCTGGAGGCCGGCAATGATGTGCGCTATTCCTGGGTGCTCTGTGACCGCTGCACACCCATCCCTGGGGGCCCTACCATTTCTTATACCTTCCGCTCCGTGGGCACTTTCAGTATCATCGTCACGGCTGAGAACGAGGTGGGCTCTGCCCAGGACAGCATCTTCGTCTACGTCCTGCAGCTCATAGAGGGGCTGCAGGTAGTGGGCTGTGGCCGCTACTTTCCCACCAACCACACGGCACAGCTACAGGCTGTGGTCAGGGATGGCACCAACATCTCCTACAGCTGGACCGCTTGGTGGGATAGGGGCCCGGCCCTGGCCGGCAGCGGCAAAGGCTTCTCGCTCACCGCGCTCGAGGCTGGCACCTACCACGTGCAGCTGCGGGCCACCAACATGCTGGGCAGCGCCTGGGCCGACTGCACTGTGGACTTCGTGGAACCTGTGGGGTGGCTGATGGTGACCGCCTCCCCGAACCCAGCTGCCATCAACACAAGCGTCACCCTCTGTGCCGAGCTGGCTGGTGGCAGTGGTGTCCTGTACACTTGGTCCTTAGAGGAGGGTTTGAGCTGGGAGACCCCTGAGCCATTTACCACCCACAGCTTCCCCACGCCCGGCCTGCACTTGGTCACTGTCACGGCAGGGAACCCGCTGGGCTCAGCCAGCGCCACCGTGGAAGTGGGCGTGCAGGTGCCTGTGAGTGGCCTCAGCATCAGGGCCGGTGAGTCGGGAGGCAGCTTCGTGGCGGCTGGGTCCTCTGTGCCCTTCTGGGGGCAGCTGGCCACAGGCACCAATGTGAGCTGGTGTTGGGCTGTACCCGGCGGCAGCAGCAAGCGTGGCCCTCACATCACCATGGTCTTCCCGGATGCTGGCACTTTCTCTGTCCAGCTCAACGCCTCCAACGCAGTCAGCTGGGTCTCAGCCACACACAACCTCACGGTGGAGGAGCCCATCGTGGGCCTGGTGCTGTGGGCCAGCAGCAAGGTGGTGGCGCCCGGGCAGCTCGTCCATTTTCAGATCCTGCTGGCTGCTGGCTCGGCCGTCACCTTCCGCCTGCAGGTCGGTGGGGCCAGCCCGGCGGTGCTCCCCGGGCCCCGTTTCTCCCACAGCTTCCCCCGTGTCGGAGACCACGTGGTGAGCGTGCAGGGCGAAAACCACGTGAGCTGGGCCCAGGCGCAGGTGCGCATCGTGGTGCTGGAGGCTGTGAGTGGGCTGCAGGTGCCCAACTGCTGCGAGCCTGGCATCGCCACAGGCACCGAGAGGAACTTCACAGCCCGTGTGCAGCGCGGTTCTCGGGTCGCCTACGCCTGGTACTTCTCACTGCAGAAGGTCCAGGGCGACTCGCTGGTTATCTTGTCGGGCCGCGACGTCACCTACACGCCCGTGGCTGCAGGGCTGCTGGAGATCCAGGTGCGCGCCTTCAACGCCCTGGGCAGCGAGAACCACACGCTGGTGCTGGAGGTCCAGGACGCCGTCCAGTATGTGGCCCTGCGGAGCGGCCCCTGCTTCACCAACCGCTCGGTGTGGTTTGAGGCTGCCACCAGCCCCAGCCCCCGGCGTGTGGTCTACCACTGGGACTTTGGGGATGGGGCCCCGGGGCAGGACACAGATGAGCCCCGGGCCGAGCACTGCTACCTGAGGCCCGGGGACTACCGCGTGCAGGTGAACGCCTCCAACCTCGTGAGCTTCTTCGTGGCGCAGGCCACGGTGACTGTCCAGGTGCTGGCGTGCCGGGAGCCAGAGGTGGACGTGGTCCTGCCCCTGCAGGTGCTGATGCGGCGCTCACAGCGCAACTACCTGGAGGCCCACGTTGACCTGCGTGACTGCGTCACCTACCAGACCGAGTACCGCTGGGAGGTGTACCGCACTGCCAGCTGCCAGCGGCCGGGGCGCCCAACCCGTGTGGCCTTGCCTGGCGTGGACGTGAGCCGGCCTCAGCTGGTGCTGCCGCGGCTGGCGCTGCCTGTGGGGCACTACTGCTTTGTGTTTGTCGTGTCATTTGGGGACACGCCACTGGCACGGAGCATCCAGGCCAACGTGACGGTGGCCCCCGAGCGCCTGGTGCCCATCATTGAGGGTGGCTCGTACCGCGTGTGGTCAGACACACAGGACCTGGTGCTGGATGGGAGCGAGTCCTACGACCCCAACCTGGAGGATGGCGACCAGACACCACTCAGTTTCCACTGGGCCTGTGTGGCTTCGACACAGGTCAGTGCGTTGCAGGGCCGTCCTCCCTGCCCTTCACCCACCCATGCCCACAAGCCCAGAGAACACCCATCACACCACCAGGGCTGGCCCGTCCTCAGTGCCTGGCGGGCCCCATCCCAGCATGGGGAGAGGATCTCCCGAGCCGTCCCCTGGGCTGGGCTCTGCTTTGAGGCTGGGTGGGGCTCTCATGCCGCGCCGCCCCTTGTTCTTGGCCTGCAGAGGGAGGCTGGTGGGTGTGCCCTGAACTTCGGGCCCCGCGGGAGCAGCGTGGTCACCATTCCACGGGAACGGCTGGCAGCCGGTGTGGAGTACACCTTCAGCCTCACCGTGTGGAAGGCCGGCCGCAAGGAGGAGGCCACCAACCAGACAGTAGGTGCCACCCGCCCCTCGGTCACACGCCTCAGACAGCCCAGCATCCCTGCTCATCCGCTGTTTTCTGTATTTTAGTGCTCGCAGAGGCCGTACGCTCTCCCCTAACTTTGTTTTTGATACAAATTCTATTTAACACAACAGCCTGCTTTGCTTCTTTCCAAACCTATCACAGCTTCATGTACAATCTTCAAGCTACACACGCTCTAGTAATCGGTAAAAGCCACACAGTCCCCCAACACCACCAACCAAAGAGCCCCTTCCCACCCCGGAGGCAGCCACTGTCCCCAGCCCATGTCCCTGTTCCTGGATGCAGTGGGCCGGTTCTCACCCTCATGCTCCTCTCTCTGGACCAGCCAGGAGGCTTGGTGACCCTGAGCCCATGGCAGCCGCTCCTGCTGCTGTCAGGTGGGGCCTGCTGGTGCTCCAGAGCAGGTGTCTGTTCCCCAGGCCCTGCTTTCCTCAGCTGGCCTGATTTGGAGCCTGCCCAGAGGGGTCGTCTGAGGGGAGGGCATGGGAGCAGGTTCCATCCCGACTCAGCCTCCTGACCCAGGCCCCAGCCCAGGGCTGCAGGAATCTGTGAGTCAGGCCTGCGTGGGAACTGTGGTCCTCACGCCCATATGTACGTCCCTTCCCACATGCACCCCTCAGGGGCCCTCAGTGAGCATTGCCTGCCTGTTGCCAGGCTCCAGCTGGGTCCAGGACACCAGAACACACACCCTGGTGTCCTCTGCCCTGTGTATGCCCTTCCGCCACCCGGGTTGGGAGGTGGAAAACCGGATGAGTATCCTGGGAGGGGCTGAGCTCACAGGCGGTGGCCAGGCCCCTGGGAAACCTGGAGTTTGGGAGCAGCATTTTCCACGGGTCCCCCAGACCTTCCAGCAGGCCGAGTAGACCTGTGTCGGAGGTAACCCCACTCCATCCCCAGGTGCTGATCCGGCGTGGTCGGGTGCCCATTGTGTCCTTGGAGTGCGTGTCCTGCAAGGCACAGGCTGTGTACGAAGTGAGCCGCAGCTCCTACGTGTACCTGGAGGGCCGCTGCCTCAACTGCAGCAGTGGCTCCAAGCGAGGGGTGAGTGTTGCCCAGGGCGTGTACGGGGTGGGGGTGGGTCCCATGGCCGAGGGGGCGGGACCTGCAGGCAGAAGCGGGGCTGACAGGGCAGAGGGTTCCGCCCCCTCACCACCCCTCCTGCCTGCAGCGCTGGGCGGCACGTACCTTCAGCAACAAGACGCTGGTGCTGGATGAGACCACCACCTCCACGGGCAGCGCAGGCATGCGTCTGGTGCTGCGGCGGGGCGTGCTGCGGGACGGCGAGGGATACACCTTCACGCTCACGGTGCTGGGCCACTCTGGCGAAGAGGAGGGCTGTGCCTCCATCCGCCTGTCCCCCAACCGCCCGCCGTTGGGGGGTTCATGCCGCCTCTTCCCGCTGGGCAACGTGCACGCCCTCACCACCAAGGTGCACTTCGAATGCACAGGTGAGTGCAGGCCTGCGTGGGGGGCGCGGTGGGATCCCCCGACTCTGTGATGCTGCGGAGCCCTCCCGTGATGCTGTGGGGTCCCTCAGGCTGGCATGACGCGGAGGATGCCGGCGCCCCACTGGTGTATGCCCTGCTGCTGCGGCGCTGTCGCCAGGGCCACTGTGAGGAGTTCTGTGTCTACAAGGGCAGCCTCTCCAGCTACGGAGCCGTGCTGCCCCCGGGTTTCAGGCCACACTTCGAGGTGGGCCTGGCCGTGGTGGTGCAGGACCAGCTGGGAGCCGCTGTGGTCGCCCTCAACAGGTGAGCCAGGCCGTGGGAGGGCGCCCCTGAGACTGCCACCTGCTCATTACCCCCCTCCACTCGCAGGTCTCTGGCCATCGCCCTCCCAGAGCCCAGCGGCAGCACAACGGGGCTTACAGTCTGGCTGCATGGGCTCACGGCCAGTGTGCTCCCAGGGCTGCTGCGGCAGGCCGACCCCCAACATGTCATCGAGTACTCCCTGGCCCTGGTCACTGTGCTGAATGAGGTGAGTGCAACCTGGGAGGGAACCTCGTATCTGCCGCACGCGTCCTGGGGACCAAGACCTGTACCCCTGCCTGGAGCCTTGCGGAGGGCTCACCCCGGGCCCTACAGACAAATCCCAGTGACCCTGAAGCAGCACCCTCTGCTCCCAGCAGCCACCCTCCCCTGTGCCTGCTTTCCACAACGCGCCCCCTGCTCCCAGGACGGCCCCTGTGTTTACCCTGTTTTGTCTATGAAGAAACAGCTCAGTGTCATGGGTCAGTGCCCACATCACACAGCATCCAGCGCATAACTGCACCCCAGGAGTGGTGGGCACATGCTGGCCTCCTGCCGGCCTCCTGCCCTGCTGACAGCTTGCTGTGCCCCCTGCCTGCCCCAGTATGAGCAGGCCCTGGATGTGGCGGCAGAGCCCGAGCACGAGCGGCAGCGCCGAGCCCAGATACGCAAGAACGTCACGCAGACCCTGGTGTCCCTGCGGGTCCACACTGTGGATGACATCCAGCAGATTGCTGCTGCACTGGCCCAGTCCATGGTAGGACGGCCCTGCGTGCCCACCCCACCCCACATGCCTGCCAGGGCACTGGGTTCAGCCCCACCAGGGTGGACGGGCAGCTTGGCCGAGGAGCTGAGCCTCCCAGCCTGGGCTCCTTCCTGCCGTGACCTTCCTTGGTCTCTGACCTGCCTCAGTAGCCTCAGCCGTTCTGCTGTCCTGCGTGAACCCAGGGTGCCTTTCAGGGGACCCAGGGTGTAAAGAGGGGCCCAGTTGTGGGGAGGGGCTGGGAAGATGCTGCTCTGTGCCCTCCCCTCCTCCCCTCTCCCCCTCCTCTCTGACTCGTGTGAAGGGGTGCCCTGTGTGGCCGGTGGGCTGCATCACGTGGGCCCTGAGTAGAGGCCCTGGGTCAGGCGGAGCCCCAGAAGATGCTTAGCGGGGAGGCTGTGGGGGTCCAGTCAGGCGGGCTCTCCAGCTGCAGGGCTGGGGGTAGGAGCCAGGTGAGGACACACGTAGAGAGGAGGGTGTGTGCAAGGAGTGGGCCTAGGAGCGGGGCTGGACACTGTCGGCTCCACACAGGGTCCCAGCAAGGAGCTCGTATGCCGCTCATGCCTGAAGCAGACGCTGCACAAGCTGGAGGCCATGATGCGTATCCTGCAGGCAGAGACCACTGCAGGCACCGTGACGCCCACCGCCATCGGAGACAGCATCCTCAACATCACAGGTGCCGCTGCCTGTGCCCCACGCTGTCCCACACCATCTCTCCGCCCCACACCACCCTTTTCTCTGCCTCCCTCCTCCCCCAACCACCTCGCCCTCGCCCCATGCCATCTTTGTCCCCCTCCCCTTTCCCTGATTCCCATCCTCATCCCCCTCCCCAATTCCCATTCTCCTCCCCCTCCCCCTTCCCTATCCCATCCCTTTTCTCCATCTCTCTCCCCTTTCTCCATTCCCCCATCCTCCCCCTCCCCTTGTCCATTCCATTCCCCTTATCCCCCTTTCCCTCCCTTTGTCCCTGCTCCTCCCTCTCCCCTTTCTCCTCCCTCTACCCTTTTCCTTCCTTCTTCCTCCCTCTCCCTATCATCTCCCTCACCCTCATCCTCATCCCTATCCCCTTCCCCCTCCCCATCCCCCACCCTCTCTCCAGCTTCCCCCTTCCTTCTGCCTGCACCTCCCTCTCTGCCCTGTCAGGTTCCCCCTTTTTCCCAGCCTCCACCCTCTGGCTTGCCCTTTCTCCTAGCCCCCATTTTCCAGCTCCCCTTTCTGCCTGCCCCCACCCTCTGCCTCCCTCTCCCTGCACTGACCTTACACCTGTCTGCAGGCGACCTCATCCACCTGGCCAGCTCGGACGTGTGGGGGCCACAGCCCTCAGAGCTGGGGGCCGAGTCACCATCACGGATGGTGGCGTCCCAGGCCTACAACCTGACCTCCGCCCTCATGCGCATCCTCATGCGCTCCCGCGTCCTCAACGAGGAGCCCCTGACGCTGGCGGGTGAGGAGATTGTGGCCCAGGGCAAGCGCTCAGACCCGCGGAGCCTCCTGTGCTATGGCGGTGCCCCAGGGCCTGGCTGCCACTTCTCCATCCCCGAGGCCTTCAGCGGGGCCCTGGCCAACCTCAGCGACGTGGTGCAGCTCATCTTTCTGGTGGACTCCAATCCCTTTCCCTTCGGCTATATCAGCAACTACACCGTCTCCACCAAAGTGGCCTCAATGGCGTTCCAGACACAGGCCGGGGCCCAGATCCCCATTGAGCGGCTGGCCTCAGAGCGCGCCATCACTGTGAAGGTGCCCAACAACTCAGACTGGGCTGCCAGGGGCCACCGCAGCTCCGCCGACTCCGTTGTGGTCCAGCCCCAGGCCTCCGTCAGTGCTGTGGTCACCCTGGACAGCAGCAACCCTGCAGCTGGGCTGCACCTGCAGCTCAACTATACGCTGCTGGACGGTGCGTGCAGCGGGCGGGGCGCACGCGGCCCCCTGGCCTCGTTCTTGAGGGGAAGGCATTTCTCATAGTGCCTGCCTGGGTGTTTCTGGTGAAATCTGCTCTCTGCTTCATGGACTGCTGGGGGCCACGGAGAAGCAGGTGCCAGCTTTGGCGCAGAAGCTCCTGTGGCCTTTCAGACCCATGGCAGCAGGCGGACTCAGGAGGGCTGTCGCGGGTGTCCCCCGGGTGGTTGAGCTTCCTGGTGGGCGTCTGACCTGCATGTGCTGCCCCCAGGCCGCTACCTGTCTGAGGAACCTGAGCCCTACCTGGCAGTCTACCTGCACTCAGAGCCCCGGCCCAATGAGCACAACTGCTCAGCCAGCAGGAGGATCCGCCCAGAGTCACTGGAGGGTGCCGACCACCGGCCCTATACCTTCTTCATTGCCCCGGGGTGAGCTCTGTGGGCTGGCCTGGCAGGGCAGGGCGTCATGGGTCAGCTTTGCCCGGGTTGCTGGCCCTATGGGAACAGCAAGCAGCGAGGGGACTGGACCGGGCATGGACTCTGGGCCCCTGACATCTGACCTGGCGGAGCCTGGGCTCAGTTCCACTGCCCTTTCCTCGCCCAGGACTGGAGACCAGGCGGGGAGTTACCATCTGAACCTCACCAGCCACTTCCGCTGGTCGGCGCTGAAGGTGTCTGTGGGCCTGTACACGTCCCTGTGCCAGTACTTCAGCGAGGAGGACATGGTGTGGCGGACGGAGGGACTGTTGCCCCTGGAGGAGACCTCACCCCACCAGGCCGTCTGCCTCACCCGCCACCTCACCGCCTTCGGTGCCAGCCTCTTCGTGCCCCCAAGCCATGTCCACTTCGTCTTTCCTGTGAGTGGCCCCGTGCTCCTGGGAGCCTTTGCAGGGTTGAGGAGGGCCTGGGTGGGCTCAGCTCTATCTCGAGAAGGCGCCGCGTGCACGTGACCTCCTGGGCCTGGCGGCTGTGTCCTCACAGGAGCCGACAGCGGGTGTAAACTACATCGTCATGCTGACATGCGCTGTGTGCCTGGTGACCTACGCGGTCATGGCCGCCATCCTGCACAAGCTGGACCAGCTGGATGCCAGCCGAGGCCGCGCCATCCCCTTCTGTGGGCAGCGGGGCCGTTTCAAGTACGAGATCCTCGTCAAGACAGGCTGGGGCCGGGGCTCAGGTGAGAGAGAGCGCAGCGGGGTGGCAGGGCCTCCCCTGCTCTCACTGGCTGTGCGGGTTGCACCCTCTGGGAGTGAGTCTTGTCGCAGGCGTCAGAACAAGGCAGTTTTTGCAGTGCTGTGTGAAGGGCTCATGTGTTAATCCTGGGAATGACCTCATGGGCACTTACTGTCCCTGAGAACTAGGACAGCTCCTAGCTGGAAGTAGGTGCCAGTCAGTCAGGGTGGGCAGCCTATGTTTTGCATAGCAGCGTGGCCCCACAAGTGACATGAGCTCAGCCTGTGCAGAGGTGAGCATTGCTACCACTGCAGGAGACTGCGTCTGCCCACGATCCTGACTGCATAGCTTGTCTCTCAGACAGAGAGCCTCCCCGTGGCTGTTTCTTCAATAACCTTTTTGTTTTTGTTTGTTTTTGTTTTTTTTGGAGATGGAGTCTTGCTCTGTTGTCCAGGCTGGAATGCAGTGGCGTGATCTTGGCTCACTGCAACTTCCAGCTCCTGGGTTTAAGTGATTCCCCTGCCTCAGCCTCCTGAGTAGCTGGGACTACAGGCGCCCGCCACCACACTCAGCTAATTTTTCACCATGTCAGCCAGGCTGGTCTCAAACTCCTGACCTCAGGTGATCCGCCTGCCTCGGCCTGCCAAAGTGCTGGGATGACAGGCATGAGCCACCACACCCAGCTGTGTTCCCATTTTTTATGTCAGTGCTGTGGTTTCATCTTCGTTGGCCAGTTCTTTGTTTTGATTACCTACTTTTTAAAACTGTTAGCCAGGCACGATGGCTCACGCCTGTAATCCCAGCACTTTGGGAGGCCGAGGCAGGCAGATCACAAGGTCAGGAGATCGAGACCATCCTGGCTAACACAGTGAAAGCCTGTTTCTACTAAAAAATACAAAACATCATCTGGGTGTGGTGGCAGGCGCCTGTAGTTCCAGGTCCTCAGGAGACTGAGGCAGGAGAATGGTGTGAACCCGGGAGGTGGAGCTTGCAGTGAGCTGAGATCACACCGCTGCACTCCAGCCTGGGCGACAGAGCAAGACTCTGTCTCAAAAAAAAAAAAAAAAGAAAAAAAACTGTCACCTGGGTCTGTCACTGGGAGAGAAGGAGGGGACAGAGCTTCACGCTTTGTAGTCTGTGCATGAACTGAGGGACGGGTGTGTGGTGTGGGTCACTGGTTGTGGTGTGACAGGCGTGGACGGGTGTGCAGGGGGGGTCACTGGTTGTGGTGTGGACTGAGATGTGTGCAGCTGTGTTTGCATGTCACAAGTTACAGTTCTCTCCGTGTAATTTAATTATGTCCTTGCGGCCTTGCTGTTTATTGGACAACCTGCAGTAACCGCAGCCCCTCATGTGTGGCAGAGCCGTGTAAAGCCGGGACTGCCCATGTGGCATCTTGAGTGCACAGAGGCCAAAGCTGGGACAACTTGCCTGGGATGCCACACGTGTTGGGCAGCAGACTGAGCCTCCCACCCCTCCCTCTTGCTCCCCAGGTACCACGGCCCACGTGGGTATTATGCTGTATGGGGTGGACAGCCGGAGCGGCCACCGGCATCTGGACGGTGACAGAGCCTTCCACCGCAACAGCCTGGACATCTTCCAGATCGCCACCCCGCACAGCCTGGGCAGCGTGTGGAAGATCCGAGTGTGGCACGACAACAAAGGTCTGTGTGGACCCTGCGGAGCTCTGCCTCTCTGCCCCCGCATTGGGGTGCCCTGTGAGCCTGACCTCCCTCCCGCACCTCTGCAGGGCTCAGCCCCGCCTGGTTCCTGCAGCACGTCATCGTCAGGGACCTGCAGACAGCCCGCAGCGCCTTCTTCCTGGTCAATGACTGGCTGTCGGTGGAGACGGAGGCCAACGGGGGCCTGGTGGAGAAGGAGGTGCTGGTGGCGAGTAAGGCCTGGTTCCATGTTCCTGCTGTGTGGGAGGTTGGGCGGGGTGGTCCTGCCTCACGGCCTCCTGCAGCTGGGCCCTCCCTGCCCCCAGGCGACGCAGCCCTGTTGCGCTTCCGGCGCCTGCTGGTGGCTGAGCTGCAGCGCGGCTTCTTTGACAAGCACATCTGGCTCTCCATATGGGACCGGCCACCTCGCAGCCGCTTCACCCGCATCCAGAGGGCCACCTGCTGCGTCGTCCTCATCTGCCTCTTCCTGGGCGCCAACGCCGTGTGGTACGGGGCTGTTGGAGACTCTACCTACAGGTGGGTGCCATAGCGGTCGGGACAGCCTCTTCCTGCCCAGCCCTTCCTGCCCCTCAGCCTCACCTGTGTGGTCTCCTCTCCTCCACACAGCGCGGGGCGTGTGTCCAGGCTGCGCCCGCTGAGTGTCGACACAGTTGCTGTTGGCCTGGTGTCCAGCGTGATTGTCTATCCCATCTACCTGGCCGTCCTCTTTCTCTTCCGGATGTCCCGGAGCAAGGTGGGCTGGGGCTGGGGACCCGGGAGTACTGGGAATGGAGCCTGGGCCTCGGTACCACGCCCAGGGCCACTCTCCAGTACTGCAGCCAGAGGGAAAGGTGCCCACCAAAGGCTGGCTCTCGGGAAGGGTCAACACACTTGAGCAGCCTTAGCTAGACTGACCAGGGAGAAAGAGAGAAGACTCAGATGCCAGAATCATGAAGAATGAGGGCACTTCACTGCCCGACCCTGCAGACATTAACAGAACCTAAGCACATGGTACGGATAACTGCACAGCAGCACACCAGATAACTCAGAAGAAGCGAGCTCACAGCTGCACATGCTTCTGAAACGCTCTTCAGAAGAAAATCTCAGTACATCTACAGCAAGTGAAGAGGCCGAGTTAGTCCCTTAGAAACCTCCTGCTGGCTGGGCGTGGTGGCTCACGCCTGTAATCCCAACACTTCAGGAGGCTGAGGTGGGCGGATCTGAGTCCAGGAGTTTGAGACCAGTCTGGGCAACCTAGCAAGACCCCATCTGTATAAAACATTAAAAAAAAAAAAATTTCCCACAAAGAGAAGCCCAGGCTCAGAGCCTTCAGTATATAATTCTTCTAAACAGTTGAAGAAGAATTAACACCAGTCCTTCAGACTCTTTCCAAGAAATACATCAGGTGGGAACTCTTCCCATTCATACAGAAATGGTAGGCTGCACCCCTTAGGAATACAGACATGGGGGTCCTCAACAGGTCACATGCAGACCAACCCCAGCAGCACACAGAGAAGGCACGTGTGCCACGACCAGGAGGGGTTGCTCCTGAGTCCATGGCAGGAACCGGAGGCCACATGTGGCTGCTCATATTTAAGTTAATTAAAATGAAATGATGGCCGGGCACAGTGGCTTACACCTGTAATCCCAGCACTTTGGGAGGCCGAGGCCAGCAGATCACTTGAGATCAGGAGTTCAAGACCAGCCTGGCCAACACGGTGAAACCCCATCTCTGCTAAAAATACAAAAAATTAGCTGGGTATCGTGGCAGGCGCCTATAATCGCAGCTAGTCAGGAGGCTGAGGCAGGACAATCGTCTGAATGTGGGAGGTGAAGGTTGCAGTGAGCTGAGATTGTGCCACTGCGCTGCAGCCTGGGTGACAGAGCGAGACTCCGTCTAAAAATAATAAATGAAATTTAAAACTCTGTTCCTTAGCTGCACCAGTCGCCTGTCAAGTGCTCAGTGGCACACATTGTAAGGGGCTGCCATCACGGACAGTGCAGATGTCACATATATCCACCATTCTAGAACATTCTGTCAGATGGCACTGGGCTCTGCCCTGTCTGCTGAGGAGGTGGCTTCTCGTCCCTGTCCTGAGCAGGTCTGAGCTGCTGCCCGCTGACCACTGCCCTTGTCCTGCAGGTGGCTGGGGGCCTGAGCCCCACGCCTGCCAGGCAGCAGGTACTGGACATCGACAGCTGCCTGGACTCATCCGTGCTGGACAGCTCCTTCCTCACGTTCTCGGGGCTCCACGCTGAGGTGAGGGCTCCACTGGGGGTCCCAGGCTGGGCTGGGGGTCCTGCCACCTTGGGGCAGCTTGGACTCAAGACACTGTGCACCTCTTAGCAGGCCTTTGCGGGACAGATGAAGAGTGACTTATTTCTGGATGATTCTAAGAGGTGGGTTCCCTAGAGCAACCTTGAGCCCTGGTGCAGGTCACTGTGTCTGGAGTGCCGGGGGTGTGCGGGCTGCATGTCCTTGCTGGGTGCCTGTGGCTCCATGTGGTCACACCGCCTGGGAGCAGGTTTGCTCAGAAGCCCAGCATGTGCATGCGTGACTGGACGGGGGTATGGTGCGTGGGTGACACATCCCCTGGCACCTTGCTGACCCACGCCACCTGCAGCCTGGTGTGCTGGCCCTCCAGCGAGGGAACGCTCAGTTGGCCGGACCTGCTCAGCGACCCATCCATTGTGGGCAGCAACCCGCGGCAGCTGGCACCGGGCCAGGCGGGCCATGGGCTGGGCCCAGAGGAGGACAGCTTCTCCCTGGCCAGCCCCTACTCGCCTGCGAAATCCTCAGCATCAGGTGAGCTGGGGTGAGAGGAGGGGGCTCTGAAGCTCACCTGCGCAGCTGGGCCCACCCAGTGCCTCCTGTGTCTCTAGATGAAGACCTGATCCAGCAGGTCCTTGCCAAAGGGGTCAGCAGCCCGGCCCCCACCCAAGACACCCACATGGAAACGGACCTGCTCACCAGCTTGTGAGTGCCCGGCTCTCGGGGGAGGGGTGATGCCGGAGGAGGGGCTGGGACTCAGGCCAGGCAGCCGTGGTCCCTGGGGTGGGTGGGGTGGGCTGGGGCCTGTGGTTGCACCACTTCACTTCTCTGAGCCTTCGGTTTCTTGTCTGTGGAAAGAGTCTCATAGGATCGTCCAGGGCGTGAGAACCTTCCCTCTAGGGAGGGAGCAGGTGCATGGGGCTTTGGAGGAGCAGAAAGGCTCCTGTGTGAGGCTGGCCGGAGCCACGTTTTTATTTTGGTCTCAGAGCAGTGAGAAATTATGGGTGGGTTTTTAAATACCCCAGTTTTTTCTTTTTGAGACCATTTTTGATTATTTGTATTTTAAAGAATTTCTTGGCTGGGCACAGTGGCTCATGCCTGTAATCCCAGCACTTTGAGAGGCCGAGGTGGGCGGATCACCTGAGGTCAGCAGTTCGAGACCAGCCTGGCCAAGATGGCGAAACCCCGTCTTTACTAAAAATACAAAAAATTAGCCAGGCATGGTGGCAGGTGCCTGTAGTCCCAGCTACTCAGGAGACTGAAGCAGGATAATCTATTGAACCTGGGAGGTAGAGGTTGTAGTGAGCTGAGATTGCGCCACTGTACTTCGGCGTGGGCGACAGAGTGTGACTCTGTCTTAAAAAAAAAAAAAAAAAAAGACTGTGCGCGGTGGCTCACATTTGTAATCCCAATACTTTGGGAGACTGAGGCGGGCAGAGCACCTGCGCTTGGGAGTTCAAGACCAGCCTGACCAACATGGAGAAACCTCATCTTTACTAAAAGTACAGAATTAGCCGGGCATAGTGGTTCACGCCTGTAATCCCAGCACTTTGGGAGGCCAAGGTGGGCAGATCACCTGAGGTCAGGAGTTCAAGACCAGCCTGGCCAACATGGCAAAACCCCATCTCTGCTAAAAATACAAAATATTAGCCAAGCGTGGTGGCGGGTGCCTGTAATCAGGAGAATCGATTGAACCCGGGAGGCTGAGGCTGCAGTGAGCCAAGATTGCGCCATTGCACTCCAGCCTGGGCCACAAAAGAGCGAAGCTCCATCTCAAAAAAAAATTTTTTTTCTCAATTTCTTGGTTGTTTTCCAACCTATCAACAAAGGGTCATATGGAGACCTTGTATGTAGTCATGCGCACCCAGCCTTTGGCAGAGTGCACCACACATGCCTGTGACCCCGGGCTCTGCCGTTGCCCTCCTGTGCTCAGGTGCACTGAGGCGCACACGGCCCTGTCGTCACGCTGCAGCTGCCTGCAGGATTCAGTGTGGTGGGACGCAGTGCAGGTGCGGAGTCCCGGCGCCACAGGCCACACCACAGGGCCTGCATGCGCAGGGGCTGCGGTGTCTGGGTTTGGGTAACTGCACCCTGAGACATTTGCACAGCGACAGAATTACCTAATGACACATTTCTCAGAACATATCCCTGGCACTAAGTGGTGCGTGGCTTTTCCATCCACTTCTATTTTGATTTCTGTGTTATTCCTTTGAGTGCTTCTCATTGTCAAGCAACTAGGAACTAAAGAGGTATGAACTGCCCCTGGACTCAGACAAAAAGGAAAACTTCCTGATTTACAAAAGGCAGATAACCATGACACGAGGGCATCTTTATGAATAAATTGCCAGTCGGTTTTAAAAATACAGAGTATGGGGAAATCCAGGGGTAGGCACTACCAGCTGACCAGCCCAAGGTATCTCCAGCCCAAAGCTCTTTGTGAAATCCAGATTCATTGCTTCTGCGAGAATTTCTGGTGGCAGCTCAGACCCCACAGCCACACAGCACGTGGCCCTCGCCCTCCCAGCTTTTTCAACCCTTGGCTGTCCCTTGCTCAGACAATGCTTCAGGCTGACCAGGTCAGAGGCTTGGGTTCATCCTGGACCACTCTGCATCCTTCCTCACTCCAGCCTCCAGCGCATCCCATGGCTCCTTTCCCAATGCAGAGCATGGCCTTCCCTGTGCCTGGGCCTGCACCCTCTGTCCTGGCGGCACCTCTGCTCTGGCATTCCTGGCCACCCCATGCCTCCCTATCAGCCATTCTCCATTTCTGCCAGCAAGAGCCTGCTCCCCAAGTCAGACCGAGTCATTTGTGTTGCTATAAAGGAATAGTTGAAACTGGGTCATTTTTTATTTTTTGAGACAGAGTCTCACTCTGTCGCCCAAACTGGAGTGCAGTGGCACGATCTCGGCTCACTGCAAACTCTGCCTCCCAGGTTCAAGCAGTTCTCTGCCTCAGCCTCCCAAGTAGCTAGGATTACAGGCGCCCGTCACCACAGCCGGCTAATTTTTGTGTGTGTTTTTAGTAGAGATGGGGTTTCACCATCTTGGCCATGTTGGTCTTGAACTCCTGACCTCATGATCCACCCACCTCGGCCTCCCACAATGCTGGGATTGCAGGTGTGAGCCACTGCGCCTGGCTAAGTTGAGGCTGGGTCATTTTTAAATTTTTTGTAGAGACAGATTCTCACTGTCTCCAACTCCTGAGCTCAAGTGATCCTCCTTCCTCAGCCGCCTGAAGTGCTGGGATTACAGGCCTGAGCCACCGCGCCCAGCCAAGAGTGCCTTTTATCCTCTGAGAGACAGCAAAACAGCAAGCAGTCAGTGCAGTACGGCCCCCGGGTCAGGCGGTTCTTTCGGTGATAGGCTGACCAGGGCGCAGGTGCGGGAGAGCGCCCAGGGAGCCTAGGACTCAGCATGTCGCAGTTGGTCTCGTCCTCCCCCTCGCGCATCTTTGCTGCCTCCGTACCTCTTCTCTAGCAGCTCTGGGACTGGGCATGTCAGCATGGTGCCCTGATGCAGTGGCACAGCCTCAGTGATCATTGGCTCCTGGAAACACAAGCAGATCTCTGGCCCCAGGGAGCCCTGCACTCTTGGGATTTGAAAGGCATTTATATGTTTCCTTGTCCAAAAATTAATTTTAGGCCATAAAACTGCATGGGAGAGACACACTGGCCTCTAGATTGTGGAGATGCTCATTGGATAGTCGAGACCCAGTCATAGTTTGCAGGGTTGGGGGGGCCCGTCGCGCCCTGAGAGGCCATGTGCGGCTGTAGGGGCGGTTGGTCAGGCTGTGGGCGATGGGTTTATCAGCAGAAAGTGAGTGGGAGAGGGACACAGGCGGACACCTGGCTTTGGCGCCTGGAGTGGCTCTTGGTTCCCTGGCTCCTAGCACCACTCCCACTCTCATTTGGGGTAGGGTCTTCCGTCTCTTTGTGGGGGGACCGCATGACCCGAGAGGGTCAAGAAACTGCCTGCCCAGATTAGCATGGGCTTGGCTGCCACTGCCTGCTGGAGGCTGGAACGAATTCACAGCCCACCATGTCCCCCAGGTCCAGCACTCCTGGGGAGAAGACAGAGACGCTGGAGCTGCAGAGGCTGGGCGAGCTGGGGCCGCCCAGCCCGGGCCTGACCTGGGAACGGCCCCAGGCAGCGAGGCTCTCCAGGACAGGTGCGCTTGCGTAGGCCTGGGATGCCCCCAGCCCCTCCCTGTTAGCTGCCTGTCACAGGTCTGTCTCTGCTTTCCCAGGACTGGTGGAGGGTCTTCGGAAGCGCCTGCTGCCGGCCTGGTGCACCTCCCTGGCCCACGGGCTCAGCCTGCTCCTGGTGGCTGTGGCTGTGGCTGTCTCAGGGTGGGTGGGTGTCGGCTTCCCCCCGGGTGTGAGTGTTGCGTGGCTCTTGTCCAGCACCACCAGCTTCCTGGCTTCATTCCTCGGCTGGGAGCCGCTGAAGGTGAGGGGGTTGTCAGGGGTAGGCTGCAGGCCTTCAACACGGGGGACCCCTCTGAAGCCACCCCCTCCCCAGGTCTTGCTGGAAGCACTGTACTTCTCACTGGTGGCCAAGCGGCTGCACCCTGATGAAGATGACACCCTGGTGGAGAGCCCGGCTGTGACACCCGTGTGCGCACGTGTGCCACGTGTACGCCCCCCCCACGGGTTTGCACTCTTCCTGGCCAAGGAGGAAGCCCGAAAGGTCAAGAGGCTACACGGCATGCTGCGGGTGAGCCCGGGTGCGGCCTGTGCCACCTCCACCTCCTTTCCCCCACCTCCCACCCATGTATGTGGGACACTGTCGTCCCCCTTTCCTCACCCAGAAGGCCCTTGGGGGTTCAAGTCTGCAGCCTCTGCCAGGACTCCCTCCTACCCTATGCCCTCCACTTGCTGCTGCAGTCCCTGCCAGGGCCCAGCTTCAATGCCCACTCCTGTCTCGCCCTGAAGGCCCCTAAGCACCGCTGCAGTGGCCTGTGTGTCTGCCCCCAGGTGGGGTCCCGGGCAGGGTATGTGCTGCCGTTACTTAGCCAGGTAAAGTCTTGGGGCGCCCCCTGCCAGCTCACCTTTCTGCAGCTGCACCTGCCATAGCTGTGGGGGCCCCAGCTGTGGCCAAAGCCCTGCTGTCACTGGGCTGGGGCCAGGCTGACCACAGGGCCCTCTGTCCCCCAGAGCCTCCTGGTGTACATGCTTTTTCTGCTGGTGACGCTGCTGGCCAGCTATGGGGATGCCTCGTGCCATGGGCACGCCTACCGTCTGCAGAGCGCCATCAAGCAGGAACTGCACAGCCGGACCTTCCTGGCCATCACGCGGTACGGGCACCTGGTGTACTGGTCTGTCTCCTGGGCTTTGGTTTTGCCCTTAGTCCAGCTAGATCCAAGGGGACATGTGGAAATATGTAGATACCTTTTTGGTTGCCAGAACTGGAGGTTGGTGCTGCTGGCATCAGTGGGCAGAGGCAAGGGAAACAGCTCCGTGCCCTGCAGTGCACAGGATGGGACCATGACAGAGAACTCTCTGCCCCAGAACGTCCCCAGGATAAGGCTGAGGAGCCCAGGTCTAGCCGTGGCCAGCAGGGAAGTGGGAGCCATGTTCCCTGGGTCTGTAGTGGCCACTCACTCCAGGCGGGCATAGGGCAGTGGGGGCTGGAGCACGTGACTGTGTCTGGTGCTGTGGCAGGTCTGAGGAGCTCTGGCCATGGATGGCGCACGTGCTGCTGCCCTATGTCCACGGGAACCAGTCCAGCCCAGAGCTGGGGCCTCCACGGCTGCGGCAGGTGCGGCTGCAGGAAGGTGAGCTGGCAGGGGGTGCCCCAAGACTTAAATCCTTCCTCTTGTCCAGAGAGCAGCCTTCAGCGGAACTCTGGCATCAGCTCCGCTCCCTAGCTGTGTGACCTTTGCTCTCTTGACACCGCAGTTTCCTTCTCTGTATAGTAGAGATGGTAACATTGTCTAATTCATGGCTGCTGGGAGGGTTCTCTGGGGTGGTGTGGAACCAGAGCTCAGGCGAGCTGGCCAGCAGGAAGCACGCCTATTGGGTTTTGCTGACGCCCTGGTCCCGGCCCGGGACTCTGTGTGTTTCAGCACTCTGCCCAGACCCTCCCGGCCCCAGGGTCCACACTTGTTCAGCTGCGGGAGGCTTCAGCACCAGCGACTACGACGTTGGCTGGGAGAGTCCTCACAATGGCTCGGGGACATGGGCTTACTCTGCACCGGATCTGCTGGGGTGAGCAGAGCGAGGGCCCCAGGCGTCTGTGCCAAGGACAAGGGAGTAGTTCTCCAGGAGTGCCCCGGCCTCTTGACCAGCCTGGCTCAGGGGTGCCGGAAGGGCTGGGGTGCGGCACCAACGCCACCCCTCTCCGGCAGGGCATGGTCCTGGGGCTCCTGTGCAGTGTATGACAGCGGGGGCTACGTGCAGGAGCTGGGCCTGAGCCTGGAGGAGAGCCGCGACCGGCTGCGATTCCTGCAGCTGCACAACTGGCTGGACAACAGGTGGGAGCTCCCTCCCTTGCCCTCTCCAGGGTGGCTGCAGTCACCAGCCAAGAGCCCACCCTTACCCCTCAGGCCCCCGCTGGCCTAGGAGGCTTCCACAGCCCCAGAGCCACGCCTGTACTGCGTGGTCCCCGAAGCTTCCGCCCTGCCACCTTCTCCTAGTGACCCGCACCCTCTGCGCAGGAGCCGCGCTGTGTTCGTGGAGCTCACGCGCTACAGCCCGGCCGTGGGGCTGCACGC